GCTTCTAAAAAAATTTTAAAAAGTTTTAAATTATATATTTTATTTTTGAGAATTTCATACCTAAGTATTGTTTTTGCATTATTTCCATCCCTCCTGGTCACCCTCTAACTCCTCCTATGCCCCCCCTTTCAATTTCTTGTCCTCTTCTTTATTATTGCTACATATATATACACACATTTATAAAATACATATTTATTATGTACTGAGTCCATTTTGTGGTGCTTGTGTGCAGCTCTGTTTAGAACTGCCTATTTGGGATTAGACAATCTTTCAGGGAACTAGTATTTGGACAAAACTGATTCTGTCTCCCACAGCATCCATTAATTGCCTGTTGCTCTTCATCTTGAGGTGAGATCCCATGAAATTTCCCCCCTCCCCCTTGGCATGTCACTGGTTTTGTCATTATGTAGATTTTGTTAGACTGTAGTATTGTGGAGATTTCATTGGTGCACCTTCACTTTCATCTAGAATGCTCTAACTGGCAGCGGTATTGTGTCCCTCTGGCATTTACATTCTCTCTGATCCCTTTATGCAGTGTTCCCTGAGCCTTCAATGTAAAGGTTGTGTTGTCAATGTGTCACATACTGTCCTTCATTTTTGACTAGGCAGAATAATGATACAATTCCTTTTTTTAACCCAATCTCAAACTTCTTTCCAGTTAATGGACTAGATTGAATTATCTGGGTGATCATCTGCATGGTTATCATTATTTTTAAAGTGCAAAAAAATAAAAAATCAGTGGGGTAATACTTACATCAAAATTTTTCTTGAGGACTTCTGTCTGGATTTTGTCAAAAAGATCAAAGTCCTTTTCTTCTACCATTTTATCTCGATAAACCCGATTGGACTCATGCAGATAGAGCTTTACCAGATCCTGGGTGGATTTCACACATTCCACTGAGGAGAAAAGGATGCCCTTGCAAGAGAACAGACAACAAGCCACATTAACAACAATTCAGATGGACAGGAGCTAAAAGAACTTTCTAAAGCATTTAGTCTAACATGGGATGGTGCCTGGGGATTACCTCACTAAGGAGGATGTCACAGTGGAAGGGACACTTGGAATGTTGAGAAGGCATTTTCAAGGAAAGACTCAAGTGTTGGAGGCACACACTTGATCTAAAATACTATTATAGCCACATAGCCATTGTGTGATGTTGGAGCCATCGTCTGTTCATTTTTCAAACAGAAATAACAATATTGGCCTCCTGGAGTTGTTGAAACAATTCAAATTATGCCCAAGGAAGGTTATCTTTGCTCATGTCATATACTCAGTAAATGGAAATTATTTTGTGTACATCATAAAGAAGCTATAACAGCTATAATTTACTGAAGTCATTTAAACAACAGGCACTGGACTAGACGTTTTGCCAGACAAAGCTCATTCAACCTTCATGGTCATCTTCTGAAATGATTCTTCCTTATCAATTTTGCACAATGTGAAGACTGGGAACCAGGAAGATGGAAAACATGTCCAACATCACAGAATAAGTTGCCTTACTTCAGAGTCATCAGGTTTTAAAACTAGGTCTTCCTGACCTTGGTGTCTGTAATTTAAGCCGCTACATTTCAAACCACCCCTGTGTAGTGAAAGGTGGTTTTTCTGTTATATTTCAATTCTACAAAGGCCATTTTGCAAATTGATTTTGGCAAGAATTGACCATGTAAAATCAGAACCAAGGGCTAGAATGAGAATAGGTGGACTTGCAGGTCAGTAACCAATGTTTTTTATCTAGATTCTGTTCCCCTTCTTATGTGTTAATACGGATGGCTCCAAGTATTTGCTCTTTTAGGTTTCTGCTGTTTTTCATTGCTACTATTAGCCAATCCCTTAACATCTGCTTTCGCTGAAAGAAAAGGAGACCATCCATGTTGGGCTGCCTTTACAACCTCAACAGAGTCTCTAACTTTTGTGCTGTCATGACTTTATTTTCTTGTCTGGGAGAACATGGGGTCATTTAATGGTTAATTATTCATTCAGTAATGCTCTGACTCATCTATGTGACACAGTATCTGGCCCTAACATTGCTATAATCTGCTTCCTTGCAATCACTTTCACCATTACTTCCCATACTATACAGATTCTACTTTCAAAATTAAAAAAAAATGCAGATGAATATATGGAACTGGAAACAATCATCCTGAGTGAGGTAACCCATACCCAGAAAGACAAATGTCCCATGCTGTCTCTCATAAGTGGATGGTAGCTTTGAATCCGTAGATATGTTTCGACTGGAACATACATAGAGGTCAGGAAACTAATAAGGTCAGGAAACTAATAAGGTCAGGAAACTAGTCCATGGAAGGATGGGGGCTTCATGGAAGGGGAGGCAGAATGCAATGATATAAAGGGGAAAGAGGACAATGAAATAAGAAGGGTTAAATACGATGGGGATTGTGAGGGCAGGGAAGAAGAGGGAGTATGAGGAGGGCTAACTAACACTAACTGCCTTTTGCAAAAGTCATATGAAAACTTATTCCTATAGAATATTCTTAAAGTATATCCATATACAATATAAAGAGAGTTTGAATAGTTACCCTACAATGGGCTGGGGGTGGTCAATGCCCCTACCGGATACCACAGGCTAGCAAATAAAAATCCCAATGCCAGGAATTCCTTTTAAGGTATTACTGGGTATTGCCATTGTCCTTGGTTACCCACAATAACTTGATGGTAAGACCCTATTGCTGAGGTACTACATAAGTGAGTTGTAGAACAAACAAGGAAATATCAAGCTGGCATTGACCTCAAAATTTCATCTCTACTGGCAGATTTTCATAGTACTAGAAAGTGTTGTGTATGTTACCATAAAAGAAGTAATCTTCAACCTTGCCCAACTGTGAACTCTGTGAGCTACAATAACAACTGGCCTGGCAACACATGCCCATCAGTGCAATAATGGCGTGAACATTATGGGAGTAGCCAACCACTTTGTGATTGTATTTAAGGTCCATTTCTCAAGATGGAGCCCATACCTGGCATTTGATTTCAAGCCTTAGGAAGTTGAGGTTAGGCCATAGGGAAGAACCTATTACTATTAACCTGATAAACAAACATAGTGTTAAACTGATTCCTAATGACATATTGTTTATTGTATCAGATGGATATTAACACAGAGACCTAGAATCGGTCAACAGACAATGAGACTGAGGAATCCTTAATCCTAAATGGGACACCTATATTACACCCTGACCTCCCAAGGTGCAGAAATCACTGGAAAAGAGCAGGCAGAATGACTGTAAGAGCAAGAGGTGGAGAATGACTATAAGGAAAGAGTGTCTTCCAGAAAGCAGGGCAGTTACTTATATGAACTCACAACAATTCTGACAACATGCATAAGACCTACACAACCTCAAGCCATAAAAAAAACTCAGCACAGAGAGGGAAGGTGGGCAAGAAGCTTCCTTGCTGAGGAGTTATGGGCAACTGGTAGCTACATGAGAAGGAGAGTCAGTTTTCTCTAAGGGCATGACACTGGGTAGGTCAACCAGGGAATGGGCCGAAACCAAAGAACACTTGGGGACACAAATTAGACTAAATAGGCCTTTAAAAATAGAAGACATGAAACTCGGTGGGTGAGGTAATAAAGTGGAAGTGGAGACAGGAGACCGGTATGAATATGATCAAAATACCTTGTATGAAATTCTCCAAAAATCAATAAAAGTTTTTTAAGTAACAAATTCAGTTTTTTTCCTGATCCTGCACACATATTTGTGTCTCTGTTCCTTCTTGTTAGGCTTCCTATGCTCATCTTTCAAGAGTCAAATCAGTTGATACTTTCATTGAAGTCTTCTAAGACATTTTCCTTCTGATCCAACAGCAGTTCCTCTAGTATGCCCCAAAAAGCCTTTTCTATATAGATTTTGGTTATAGGACAATGATTAGTTTCTCAAATTACTCTTCTCTAAGTTTGTTTATTGCACCTCATGGTAATTGTCTCAAAGGGAAGCTTGGATTGTTCATTTGTGTATGTGTCTAAGTGTGGATGTGTGCACATTAAGTGCAGATGCCCATGGAGTCTAGGGGCGCTGAGTCCCCCTGGAGTTACAGGATGCTGTGAGCCACTTGACATGGGTGCTGGGAACTGAACTTGGAGCAATACATGTTCTTAATTGCTGAACCTTCTCTCCAGTCTCCTGCAATGAATTCTTATTGAAACAAAGAGTGGCCAGTATCAAATCTTTCACACATTGCCATATTGCGTAGCAAAAACTCCATTTGTTTCAGGTAATGGCGGAATAGCTGATCATGGACCAAACTACTCAGATCAACTAGAAAAGATATGAAAATTATTTTAAAGCTTCATATTTCCAGTTATTAGAGAGTAACCAAGACAGTGAAGAGCTGAGGAGATAAGGTACTTGAGAGATGGCGAGAATCAAAAAATTGATGCCAATTTTCCTTTTGAGACATTTATCAATTCACAAAAGAATGAGTACAAGTTGGAGAATGGAAAAGACAGAGAGAAGGGAGAGGTTGAGATGTTGCATGATGTTGTCTTGTCTTATAGAGAGGCTGAAAATTGGCAACAAAGACTGTCAAGGACAGCCATGCTTAAAACTCACAAGGGCAGGTCCCTAAGGGGCTGTGCCCAGACATTACAGGATCCAAAGCACAGTTTGCAGTCTCCCCAGGCTTAATAGCTGCTTCCCAAGCAGAAGTGTGTAACTTCTGAAGGAAAACACTGTATAACGCTGAAATTATCTGCACACTATAAAGCTAATTAGGACTAGGTATCAAACAAAAATTGTGGGGAATACCAGGATCAGATAAGGCCAAATGATCAAAACTCAGAAAAGAGAAGGCCAACTCACAGATGATCTAGATGTTGAATGAGCAAATACAGACTTTAAAAAGACTATGATTAATATGGCATCCATTAGATGAATATCAAAAAGATGTATATCTTAAAAGAGGGATAAAATAAAATGATAGAAATATAGATAATTCAGTAGAATACAAGAAGTGATAGAAAATGAAGTAGAATGGGTAGAAGGTACACAAAAAAATTAGTATAGGAAGATTTAATCTCTAATTACTAGGTGCAATAACAGGCTTAACATTGTGAGAGGACAACTGCCAGGCTTGATTTTTTTTAAAAGCCAAATATATGCTGCTTATATTTATTCTTTATCCTTGACTTTAAAGAAAGGGCTATTTTTAGAGATAAAGAAGTATATTTAGTATATAAGAGAAAGATCAGGAAGATAAGCTAATTATAAATATTTCATATATACATGAATAAATATACTAATTGAGATTTATATGCATCTGGTAATGTAACTTCAAAGTGTAAAAAATGAATTTGACAGAAAAAAAATGAAAAAACTCTAAGCTTAATGAAAATCATCTATAGTTGGCTTTCCCTAACCACCAGTTCTCCATCCATTGGTTCAACAAATCACAGATTGAGAATATTAAGAAAAATATTGTGTCTGCACAATAAATATGCACATTTTGGTCATTTCTCCCTAAACACTAGAGAATAACAAATATCTATGTAACATTTGCATTGTGTTAGCATTATGTAAACCCTAGAGACCATTAAAAGCATATATGGTGCACGCCTGTAGTCGCAGCACTTGGGAAGCAGAGGCAAGTGGATCTCTGTGAGTTCAAGGCCAGCCTGGTCTACATAGTGAGTTCCAAGACAGCTCAGTCTACAGGGAGACCCTGTCTCAAAAAGACCAAAAAAAAAAAAAAAAGCAATGTGATTTATGCAGGTTCTATGAAATACCACAGCATGGACTGGAGGTTAGAGCATTTGCATATTATGATCAAGGCCTGGGTTCAATCTCCATAATTGAAAAAATGATTTAAACAATAACAACACACTACTCTGCTATTTCATATACAAGACTTGAGTATCTGCAGCTTTTCATACTTGTGAGGGGTCCTGGAACCAATACCCCATG